CTTCCTCCTTACTAGAAAAGAACTCCACCTCTTGAGCCTCAACCCCACACCTTGAATAAGTTTGAAAGATCTTTTATTTTATTTGCTGTTTTGTTTTGGTGGTGCTGTACTTCAACTTAGCATCTCCACCATGTTAGGCAAGCATTTTATCACTGAGCCCTAGGCCCTTATTGTTTCCTTTCTTGAAACAGGGTTTCACTCTGTAGCCCAGGCTGACCCTGAATTTAAATTCCTATTGCCTCTGCCTCTGGAGTGCTAGGATTACGGGCATTGACCACCATGCCCAGGTCTTGTAATATGTTTTAACTTCTAATTTGTGAACATGCCAAATTTTCTTCTTGCGATCCATCTGGGACTTACATAAAATTTTATCTTTATCTAAGACTGTTCTGAGAAGATCACTAAACTTTGATACCATAAAAGCTGTGGATCTCACCTTTCCCTTACAATTTATATCTCATTGGGATTCTTTGAGCTTTGAGGATCTGTTACCTTATACTGCCTAGTTGATCTTGCTGAATTTCCATCCGACCGTAATCTAGTTTATCTCGAGGACAGGATGCCTGAAGGCCAGAAGTTCCTGTTCTGATGGGTTAGACAAAACTGCTTGATCCTCTTAGGACTTTATAAGTTGCCAGAGGGACCTGCAGACAACATAAAAGTTCATTATTAACAACCTGCATGTTAAATCTATAGTTACATGACACGTAACAATTCCCATGGTGTGAAGTGGAAAGAAAAGGAGAGAAATAGGTGGAAACAACTCCCTGAAAATCCATACCCATTGTGCACTTAGGCAGGTGCCCTACCACCTACTTGAACCATGTTCCCATCCTTATAGACTTGTGTTTCTCACAAATGTGGTTTTTCTTGTTTTGTTTCTCTCTCTCCCTCACCTCTACTGCCCCACTTTTTGTGAGGCAGGATCTCCTCACAGGATGAATTTTAACTCCCATTTCTATTCTCCCTACCTACCGAGTGTTGGGATTATAGGTGTTTGCCACCATACTCTGTGGCTGTGGATTTTCTTATAATATAAAAGTGATTCTCAGGCTGGGGATGGAGCTCAGGAGTAGAACACTTACCTGGATTGCTAGAGACTGAGTTCCATCACCATGCTGCAAGGAAAAGACTTCTCCTACTTTGATCACTTGGAGTTTCAAATAGGATTAAAATGTTGAAGTACTCCCTTCTCAGACTTATAAATTTACATTAGGACAACTTTATTCATTTTTATGGTGAAAATAAACATATTTAGATTTATCCAGCTGGACTCCATTTAGATGATTCTAATTTTGTTGGCAATACCCAAAGCATCAAAATCAGGAGTCAGTGAACATATGCCTTTTTCTTCCCATCTGGCCTGATCAGGGCATTGACCACATTAATGTGTGAGAGCTTCTTCATAGCATGTGCTCTGGTGCTTGTTGACCTTACATCCACAATGAACACAAATGTGGTGTTGTGCTCTACCCTCTTCACAGTTGATTCAGTTGTGAGGGGGAACATGATGATGGCATAGTGGACAAGGCCATGTGTCCTGGGGACACTCTTCCTAGGGCACTTGTGCTGCCTTCAGAGCCACAGCGTCTTGAGCTGCATGAAGATGTGTGACATGCATACCTTCTCATTTTGTTCTGTGGATGTCTTTCAGCACAGACTTTTTGGCCTTGAAAGACATTGCTTTGGTTTCAGCTTGGGGAGGAAGGGCAGGAACTTCCCTTTTCCCTGTCAGCATCACCTTGGTAAAAAGAGACAATTTTAATTGTTTCAATACAAATTTAAGTGTCTGGTTCCAAACACAGCAGTTAAACCTGGCTTGGTAGATGGGCCTACAGTGCCAGAGTTACATCATGAGTTACATAGGGGACCTTGTCTAATGAAATAAAGAAAAATCAAGAAAGTACAAACCACACAGTGATGATTCAGAAATGCTTTTTAGTGTAAATTTTCTTTAAATTCAGAATCAAGAAAAACAGATATATGTTAAACTCTAGGTCTGGTTTGGTCATATTATATAACTCATGCACAAGAACTACATGTAGTAAAGTGAACATTGCATCTTTCTAGACTGTAGAGAGTAGTAATTAGAGCAATGCATGTCCCTCACCCTTCCATCATCCACTCCAGCAAGAGTTCCGCACAATGGCCTCCCTTCATAATATTGGGTGTGTTTTCACCTGCTGTGGTGTTTAGAAATGAAGTGGGGCCCTACAGTGTCCTTGTGATCTGTGGTTCAACATAAGAGCCTGTGGGGAGGACCAGTGTCCTGGTGCATAAAGATGGTCTCTGAATATTTTTAATTCATTGCTCAAATGTATTTTATGTTGATTCAAATAATGTTGTGTTCTCTATTGCTGGATACCTTTGTTTGTGTATTTATTTCTGTATTCATCTTTGTATTTCTTTCTTTCCATCTACCTTTCTTTTCATCCATTCATTTATTTGAGAAGGGTCTCAGGGTGATGCCCAGGCTGGCCTCCAAGGTGTTGGCTCAATGGACCCCCTCCCCCTCAACCTTCCAAGCAGTGTGTGCGCACTGCACCTGCCCAGGTGTTTTAACTCTGCAACAAATTCATAATGTTGACATGAACAAACATCCCTAAACAGTGATATTTTCAGGTTTTGCTTTCTTTAATATCAGGAACACACTGAACATTTTCCTGTCTCATACTCAGGATTATGTTGGTCAATGAGCAGAAAACCACCACCCATGGGGTACAGTGAATCAAGAGTGGGTCCTTGACCTTCATTCTATCCCTAACTCTTTCCCTTTTAGGAAGGGTCATCTGACTCATGCAATTGATCTGGAAAAAGTTGAACTGCCAGTCAGGAAAAACTAGGTGGAGCTTCAGGAATCTGATCAGATGTTGCTTCCTGATTGGACAGGAGGCTGTTGAAAAAGGATGCTTGCAAAAAGGTCAAAAAAGCTTCAGAGGAACAAAAAGAAGAGAAGCAGAGTCCTATTGCCTGGAGTCACTGCCTGGTCCTGCTGCGATTCAGAGAGCCCTCGGGCACCTCTCACACACTGGTAAGTGACTCACCTGCATAAGGACACCTCACACCCTCCCTCAGTCAAGCTCAGTTGTGGCCTACAACCATGGTGGCACTGAGAATCTTATGACTTCTGCCTCTTTAGATGAATGGTTTAAGAATTTTTTTTTTTTCATTTTGGGTGGTTCTGGGGTTGGAACTCAAGGCCTCATGCTTGCTAGGCAGGCACTCCACCTCTTGGGCCATTCCTCCAACTCTTTTTTGTGTTGGGGTTTGTTTTTTTTTAATGTCAAAGTGGTAATGTACCAATGTTATAACTAGGTTTGAGGGACACACATGACAGGTAAATCCATGAATGCCCAATCATCATGCTTATGAACCAAAAAAGGATCTATGTTGGGAATGTTTGAGATAGGGTCTCTCAAACTATTTGCCTGGGATGGCTTTGAACCACAATCCTCCTGATCTCTGCCTCCCTCATAGCTAGGATAACAAGCAAAAGCCCAGTTCTCAAATATCTTAAGTGTTTCTGGGCTTATGCCATTTTTAATTTTGTGTTGTTTTCACTTTTGGAGAGAGTCTGGCTATATAACCCTAGTTGCCCTTGAAATCATGATTCTCTCCTGATTAGGATTCAGCTAATCCTAGAGCTAGAATTACAAATTTTACAATTACAGTACCATGCTTGGCTTTCATTTATAAACTTCTCAATCAAGAAAGATTTGTTTTGTTTTTTAAAACAGCACCATCAATTTGACTGGACTTTTAGTATTCAGCAATTTAAATATTACTTTGTAGTCCCTTAAATTACAGTATCTAACTAAGTGCTCTTGTGATTTTACAAGTTAAATTCTCCTTATTTATTTATTTAATTATACATTTATTCCTTCATTCATTTAGTTCTTTTGGAGACTTGTTTTCACTACTTAGTCTCCACTGACCTACAACTCTATCTCATATCCTTCCTGGTGTGATTGCAGGCATGGGTATCCCCTTGGGATCTACACCTCCCTAGCAATTAAAGTTTAAAACAAAGCTGGGACTGGGACTGGTGACACCACTGTAATCCCAGCTTTTGGGAAGGTGAGGCAGGAGGATTAATTGTTGGAGGTCAAATGCAGCTATACAGAGAGACACTGTCACAACAGGAAAAAGAACGGAAAAAAAAAAAGGAAGGAAGTTTAAAAGCATTTTGCACAGTATTTAGCCCAGGGTCTTATGTATTTGATTTTTATTTATTTACTGTTTAGTGTAGTTGGTGATCCAGCCCAGTATCTCCTGTAAGCCAGGGAACCCTCTGTCACTGAGCTCCACCCCAGCCTGTGTAGACTTCAAAGGTAGAGCCCTATTCTAACCCAGGCTTCCCAGGCTCCTCTCCCAGGGCTCAGTGCTCCTTGCAGAAGGACTGGCACATGGGAATGTCCCTCTCAGAGCTCGCCTTAGGCTCAGGGTTTCCACCTCAGAATCAGCATTTCCCACATGCTGCCTCCCACTGCTTCCACAATCACTTCTTCAAGGATTGGAAATGAATGGCACCATTTTCTAGTCTCTTTAGCGCTTCAAGCACGATGACATAGAAGGAACAGAGAATGAATGTAGGGAGGCAGGGCACATGAGACGTCCCTTGCCTTTGTTTTAGGAACTTGAAGGTGACCAGAAACTATGACAGAAAGGCTGGGGTGAGTTTATGGCTCCTTGTGTCTCTTCCAGGGAGGACTAAACTCACAGGAGCAGAGGTAGGAAATGCACGGGCAGTAGTGAACTTCTGCCCATGTTGGTGCTGGTGACACACTTATCCTGCTACCAGCTGTCACAGAGCTGTGGCTTTGTGATCCTCAGGTGCTGAGGTGAAATGGGGTAAACTGAGTCTCTTCCACCACTGCAGAGCAATGACTCATGTCCTGACTTGGGTCCTTGGATGGTGAGTGGGGGTTTTCTTGGCCTTGTCCTGAAGCAGGCATCTTCCTGGATGCTTGGCAGAAGCCTCTCATTACAGATCCTTCAGAATGAGCATCAAGGCCCCACCCACCCTCCTGCAGCTGGCAGGGCAGAGCCTGCTGAGGAACGAGGCCCTGGCCATCTCTGCTCTACAGACACTGCCCATGGAGCTCTTCCCTCCTCTGTTCATGGAGGCCTTTGCCCAGAGACGCACTGAGATCATGAAAGCCATGGTGCAGGCCTGGCCCTTCCCTTTCTTCCCCCTGGGACCCCTGATGAAGACTCAAGACCTGGAGACCTTACAGATCACCCTGGGTGGGATTGACATGCTGCTCCGCCACCAGGTTCGTCCCAGGTGAGTGTGACTCAGGAAATATCAAATGGAGGGTGCCGTGATCTATGGAAGACTGAGTTAGGGACATAGGGGAAGCAGTATCTGATGAAGCAAGGAAGAAACTAGAAAGGCCATGACCATTGCTGAGCTTCTCTTAGGAAAGGACTTCTGGGAGTGGAGGACTGATAAGGATTGATGACAGGGTGGCAGAAAGAGCTGTACCTGTGTCCTTCCACAGCTGTTAGAAGTGGGGAACAAATTTGATCCAATGGGAAGGGGGTGGAGAAAAGGAAGTGAGAGTTCTGTTATGAAGCCCAGGTGAGGAACCTTTGCCTAGCAAACATGGGGCCCAGGGAATGTGGCTCAACTCTTCAAGAAATAAGAGGAAGAAAGATAGAAAAAAAAACAGAAGGAAAGAAAAAAAGAAAACTAACATGGAGAAGAAATTGAAAAGGGCACAGTGATGTCCAGGATGGAGGATGGAGAATAGAAGCGCAAGTGGATGTTGGGGTTCTGACAAGATTCTCAGACTCTCCCTGTTTCTCCTCAGGAGATGGAAACTGCAGGTGCTGGACCTGCGGACTGTGCACCAGAACTTTTGGAAGGTGTGGGCTGGAAACATGGCTGGGTACTGCACCCCACAGGCCAAGAGCATCAATCACGCAGTGGAGGTCCAACCAAGGACAGGGGTGAAGCAGCCCTTGCGGCTGATAATTGACCTTAACCTGGATCTTGATGACCTACATGAACTCCAGATACACCTGTTTGAGTGGGTCCTGCAGAGGAAAAGTTCAGTACAGCTCTGCTGTAGGAAGATGCAGATTTGGGGACTGTGCACTTGTGGCTCCAGGCCATGGCCCATCCACAGGGTCCTGAGCCTATTGGAGCTGAACTGGATAGAGGAGGTGGTCCTACATTGTCCCTGGTCCCTGTGCATCCTGGGTGTGTTTGCTTCTTACCTGGGCCAGATGAGAAACCTGCGCACACTCTGCATCTCTCGTACCTGTGTGTTGTTACGCATGTCTCCAGAACAGAATGAGCAGCTTGTCACCACCTTCTCTTTTGAGTTTGGCAAACTCAGCTGTCTCCAACAGCTCTATATGAATGGGGCCTATTTCCTTCGTGGCCATCTGCACCAGGTGCTCAGGTGAGGATGGACTGGGCAGTCTGGGAGGCATAGAGTCAAGCCTTTCCTTGTTACATTAGGCACGGGAAACATGTGCTGTTTGCCAGCCATTGAAGATGTCAGTGTGATGTGTGCATTAGATGTGTAAGTGTTGATTTTTTCTAGTCTATCCTGTAATGTGGACACTCATAGCCCATCAATGCCAATGGGGATTCTTCAAGGTGAATGGCCTGTAAAGAATCACCATACTAGGAAGACAGGTATGGTGGACAAGTATAGCAAGGGTGGGCAATGAATTCCTCCCAGGAGGTGTGTCTAAACTGAGGTGCTGGAAATAGGAAAGAGACAGGGGCTCTGATGGAGGGAACCACCTCACACCTGCACAGGTCACCACAGGGACACTGAGCTCTGCAGCTGAGTGAGCAAGAAGGGACCTGTCTCTAAGTTCCCCCTTCTCTGAATGGTGGCGTTGCACTCAGGCAGGGGACAGATGGGAAGTATGTGGCACTGGTGTTTGGGTGAGGAGCAGGAGTGAAACACAAGGACAGTGACAGATGCTATGCTGGGAACGCAGGGGAGTGAGCCACACAGGAAGCAACACCAGTTAGGTTTTCAGATCTTGCCTGAGTTTGTCCTTCCTACAGGTCTCCTCTGGCCAGAGCTGGGGCATTGTGTGACAATGAGGAAAGGGCACTGTGGAGAGGGGGTAGTGAGGCAGTCACACAGTGATGGTGAAAGACCTCAGCCCAGATGACTATAGAATACACTGTTTATTTTTGGTGATACTGAGGTTTGAACTCAGGGCCTCACACTTGTTGGGCATGTTCTGTTACCACTTGAGCCACTCCACCAGCCCTTTCTTGTGATGGGATTTGTTTTCAAAATAGTGTCTTGGAAACTACTTGCCTGGGGTTGCCTTTAAACATGATCCTCCTAATCTCTGCCTGCTGAGTAGCTAGGATTACAGGAGTAATCCTACTGGCACCCAGCCTGAGAACACACTCTTAACAAGTGACATCCTTGATATTAACCAGGTACAGATGGTAAGGTCAGCCTTGGGTATGACTGGAAAAGATTATGCTCTCTGACCTGAGGTCATTCCACCCTCCTCCAGCCTACAATCCATTAGCCAGAACTTACTGCTTGTTCTGTCCTCAGGTGCCTGAAGACCCCCTTGGAGTCCCTGTCAATAACTCAATGCCAGCTTGAAGAATCAGACTTGGACTATCTATCTCAGTGCCTGAGCATCAACCAGCTCAAATATCTGAGTCTGAGAGGAGTCACGCTGAGCTATGTAGATCCAAAGCCCTTCCAAATTCTGCTAGAGAGAGTCTCAGACACTCTGAAGATCCTGAACTTGGAGGACTGTGGGATCAGGGACTCCCAGCTCACTGCCCTCCTGCCTGCCCTGAGCTGTTGCTCCCAGCTCACTACATTCAACTTCTTTGGGAACCACATCTCCATGTCTGTTCTGAAAGACCTGCTGTGCCATACTGCCAAGCTGAGCCGGTTGAGCCAGGAGCTGTACCCAGTTCCTCTGGAGAGCTATGATGGGCTGGGTTCTGTGATCACAGAAAGACTTACTCAACATTGTGCTGAGCTCTTGGATACACTGAGGACCATAAGGAAGCCCAAGATGGTGCTGTTTGGTACTGAGGAGTGCCCTCAATGTGGCAGCCGATGTTTCTATGACATGGAGCACCATCTAAGCTACTGTTGGATGTATACCTAGTTGACTGCAAATATCTAAATTTTTCTCCTGACCACTATTAAGTGAAAGCCAAGACCTAGGGGTCTGATCATGGGTACAATGAACATGTGGTTTCAACCCACTGTTCAATAGGTTTGGGGAAAATGAAGGTGATGAAGGGGTGCTCATATTAGAGGGGAAAAGTTGACACAAGGCGCAATGAGTCCTTTTGTCATGTGTCTTATGCAGTCATAAATACGAATCAGAATGTGTCGATGTGGCTTCAGACTGGAGAGGTGCATGGGGCTCTTGCCCCTGCCCAGTGGTCTATAATAAAAGTGGTCAGAACCTCATATAAACACTCTTTGTCTGCCTGGTCTGTTATCCTGGTGTCCAGTGTACAGGGAGGAAAGTCCTGTGACTGTAGAGAACCACAGGCACTGAGCTGTCTCATCAGTGAGGCCGAAGACCAAGAACTCATGGCATCCACAATTGGAGCCACGCTGACGACTGCCTTCCACTCTTCCTTCTCTATGGGTATCTGTGACATCCTGTGTGTGTGGCTGGCTGCTTTTTAATGCACACAAGGCTGTCAGCTGAAGTGAGCTCCTCAGACCCACTCTAAAGGACAGAGTCCTTTTGGGAATACAGGGGTTTGGAATCCAGGACGCTCAGGCTGGGGTGGACCATAGGCACGTGTGGGGGCTGGGGAAAAGGAAAGACAAAATGCATGAAAAAGGAATCAGGTTAAGCCACGTTTCAGAGGCCATGTTCTTGGGTCTCCCAACCGTGTCCTTTGCTCCAGCAGACACGGCCTCCAGTTGGTTGACAAATGTTCCTTCCTTGTGCTAATGATTTACTTTGTAAAAGTGAGTAAAAGTCTATCAAGAAATGAAAACTGTAAAACCCCAAAGGGCTGGGGGCATGGCTCATGTGGTATAACAAGGCCCTGGCCCATCTGAAGCAGGGGGAGGCACCACAGAAAGGGAACTGCTTCTTTTCCCTCTTTATCCCTCTTGGCAGGTTACCCCATCCTTCAATGCACGCTCCATTCTTGGCAACAGAGAGGAAAGCAGGGAGTCAGGCACCAAATGGGACTCAGCCTCTACATGGAGCTTCCATTTAATCAGGATTCATCCACAGAGCAAAGATTCATCAGGCAACAGGGGTGGGAGGTGGGGGCACAGCTGGATTCATGGGTTAATGTGGAAGAGCATCTGCATAGCAAGGGGTAAGTCCTGAGTCCAGTCCCCAAAAAGGAAAAAATACACCTGGATTCATTTCCAGTGATCAGAAAAGATCAACGCTGTAGGCTTGAGCTGTCAGGGTGGCTCAAGTATTAAGAGTACCTGCCTAGACCCTGAATTCAAACCCCAGGGCCTCCAAAAAAAAAAAGCTGTGGGCTTTGTGCGCCCCCTGCTGGACATTTGGGACAAATGCGTGTGTTTTGGAGCACCCTTGCTTTCCTGTGAACATTTACAAAACTGCTGTTATGGTACACTACTGAGCATTAATAGTGTGATTTTTTTAAATTTTAGCAATGATTTATTTTAGTATAGCAATATAAGTAGGAAGAATTGAGGAAATAAGGGAGAAACATTCCCTGCTGTTCTGTAGGAAATGGGAGGAAGTTTCCTGTGTTGTGATTTTAAGAGATAATAAGGACATAAATCATTTTGAAAATTATAAGGAAATTTAGATCTTTTACAGAATGCAATGGTATATGAAAATAGTGTTTAATTTGATTTTCTGGATCAAAAAGAAAGATACTTGCTCTGGGTGTTTTCAGTGGTAGTGGTGGTAGAACAGTGTGATGCCCTGGGCTCCATCCCAGCACTGAAAAAAGAAATGACTGAGTAATAATTGAAAAATTAATCTGTGTGTGGTACACACATCTGTAATCCCAGATTCATAAAACTGAGATATTAAGATTATAAGTTTTAGACCAGGCTCAAGGACATAGTGAAAGCTTTTCTCAAAACAAATTAATAAAAAATAAAGAAATGAGACTTTGAAAAATAAATGTAAACATCAATGAATAATAATATTACTTATTTAATAAATTTTTAGAAGAACAAAATGATAGAGCTTGAGTTGGCATACTTAATTTTTTTTTGCCGGTACTAGAGTTTGAACTCAGGAAGGCACTCTACTACTTGAGCCACTCCACCAGCCCTTTTTTGCATTGGGTAATTTCTGGATGAGGTCTCTAGAACTGCTTGCCCAGGATGGCTTCTAACCACAGTCCTCCTCGCCTCTGTCTCCTGAGTAGCTAGGATTACAGGTGTCAGCCACTGGCCACACTTATTTTTGAATGTTGACTTGGTTACTTACACCAGTTTTAGAATCACAGAAAAATTAGGCAGAAGCTCCCCAGTTCCCACATCCCCTGCTCCACACAGGCACTGCTCCCCCAGGAGCAGCGTCCCTTTCAGAGGAGAACAAACATCATTCATAGACCTAAGGACACATATTTGCAAATCCATAGTTGACCTTGTAGCTCATTCTTGCTGTTGTCCAGTCAATGAGTTTTGAATGAACCCGCATTACAGGATCATACAGAATAGTTTCTTGTGCTCAAAGTCCTATGTGCTTTGGCTGTTCGCACCCCCTCCCACCAGAACCTGCCAACCACTGGGCTTTCTGCTTTCTCCGTGGTTTTGCCTTTGTGGAATGTCATCTAGTATGTAGCCTCTATGATTGCTTTCTTTCACTGGATAATTTTCATAAGGATCGAAGACCCCTCCCCACACCCACCTTTCTCACACAGTCCCCAACCCATGACTTGATTTTCAGTGTCTGGCAGGACCATGGCTCAGTTATTCATTCACCTGCTAAAGGAAGCCATAATGGATTCCAAATGCTGGCAATGAACAAAGCAGCCATAACCATCCAGGTGGGGCCAATCCCTTTGGTAAAGACCTAGGAGCTCCAGAATTGCACTGGAAAGGAATGCTTGGTTAACTGTTACTGGTTTTCTTAACACTCACCTGGTAAACAGAATGGCCACTGAAATGGCAAGGATAGTGTTCCCACCATTCTGGCTCCCCACTTCTGAGCATGGCACCTGACAAGTGGTAGCAAGTGCTCATGTCCTGCAGGTCACATGGAACCTCTACCATCGGTGACAGCCACCAAAAGGACAGCTTGGAAAGAACACAGCTGGCTAAAAGTAACGTGGAAGACACAGCACTCAGGCTGCTGCTCTCACTGCCCGTGTGTCAACGTCCAGCCATCATAAGGGCTCGTGAGCTGAACCTCACTTGTTTCCATACGTTTTCCCCAGAAATGCAGGACATCGTCACTGTCAAACAGTCCCACAACGCACACAGAGCAACACCTTCCCTGGCCTTCCCTGCATCTCAGGCCCTTCTCTAGAGGGTTTGGGTTAGTTTCCTCATTCCAGATCTTTCTGACTTCCTCTCCATTTGTCCCTACACATGGAGGCCTCCAGTTTCATCCACTCTTCTAGAAAGGGTGTCTTACTGTGAGATGGTCATGGTGCTTTTCCCACTGAAGTGGAAGGATTGAAGATCTGTCCTCATTCTCATTGGCTGGCACAGAGCATCCCATAGCTGAGGATCAGGTGAGCGCTGTGTCTGTTTGTGGACATCTAGCTTCTTCTGATTTGTTGCTGTTACTGAACCCGTGGTCCTAAGGATCTTGACACGCTGAAGCTTCTCTTTAACTTCTCAAAGTTTTCTCCTTGTTCTCTGCTCCATCTGTGCTGAACCTTCAGTTCCCCTTCTCTGACAGGTTATTTCATCAGTATGAACAGACTCTCCACAGTCGTCCATTTAAAAGAAAAACAAAGAGAGTGAAAAGAAACCTCCTTCGCCTCCATGTCATTCTTCTTCCTGCACACACAGCTTCTCCTCAGAGGTCTCGGCATTCCCTGTCTCTGTGTCTGTCCCTTACATAGGCTCAGTGTCATTTTAAGGAACTATTCCAAGTGCACAGAAGAATACGCTCAGTAAGATGAAAACATGTAGCTGGGTGCCGAGTGGCTCACATCTGTAATCCTAGCTGCTCAGGAGGCAGAAATCAGGAGAATTGTGGTTCCAAGCCAGCCCCCAGCAAATAGGTCTCAAGACCCTATCTCGAAAAAACCCAACAAAAAGAAAGGGCGGTGGAGTGGCTCAAGGTGTAGGCCCTTCTGCAACATGGTTTCTGCTTCTGGTTTTGCCCTTACCTGCCTGTTTGAATCCTTAGCTCCTGTTTCCCAGGCCTCATTTTCCCTGGTCTATACTGTTCTGATTTCTGTTAAAAATTGAAGGCATGGTTTGTTTGTTTGTTTTTTAACTAGGTAGGTCACATTCTGTATTTCCTTCTAAAATCTGTTAATTATCACACTTTTGACTAATGAATGACTTATTTCATAATGATCCCTGACACCACTTCCATGAAATGTTTTAAACCTTTTTATATTTTTGACAAACTACTCTAAGATCAAATTCTATATTAAAACTTTTTTGTATATGAACTAAATTTGGGAGGTTTCAGAGGGACCCAGAACTTCTCAAGGGGTTTGTAAAATGAAACACGAAATGAATTAGCCTTATTTTATATGATGGACATTCACATTGCTGTCAAATAAATGTTTAGCTGGGTGCAGAAGCACAGCTTATAATCCCAATACTGGGAAGAGACGGCGGGAGGATTACAAGTGGGAGGCCAGCCTGGGCTACATGAGAGCCTGCTCAAGGTGAATCCATGCATACATACACAAGTAGATAGAAGAATGGATGGATGGATAAATAGATGGATGGGCTGTGGGTTGCCAAGCCTGCTGGGAGGTGCCTGAGCCTGGCTGCTGAGGTTGGTTGAGGCTCCTGTCCAATGGGCAGCTAGTTATGGGGACAGCCACAGCAGCTATAGACAACCACACAGGGTGGATAGGAGGGGTCCTCAAGGGGTGGAGGATGGCATGTGGTTGACTGTGTTGTGCAGAGGCACAGCACGCCTGCACTTTGAAAGCCAGGTTTCACTGGTCAAGGGGTCACCTGCTGGGTAAGCATCATCTTCCCAGGCAGCAGTGCCCACCGCGTCAAGGCCTGTGGCTCAGAGGCGCCAATGCCGCCTGACTTCATGGAGAACCTTAAGCAAGCTTAAAGACTGGTGGCCCATGTCCCTGCCCATGAACACTAGATCTTTTCAGGCAGGAACCACCTTGCCTCCACTGAGGACCCACCTACCCCAGGTCACCTACATGAACCTGTGGGACTGATGGCTCCAGCCTGGGTGTGTTCCTGCTGCAAGCAGTGTGACATCCCACTGCAGGACAACCCAGGCTTGCACGCGGTGCTGAATGTGCTCCACGGCACATTGCACTTCAGCTGCATGGACCAGCTGCAGGCAGGCGAGCCACTCTGTGGGCTCTAGAGGTGGAGGCCCTGTGATGCGGAGTCCTGTGCTCCCAGACCCAGCCACCAAGGCCAGCAGCCCTGCAACCTCATGCCACACATGCACAACCAGCACCAGGTCAGTGCTGTGGCCAAGACCGCTGGCTTCCTGGACATCCTGGCCCCACCCTATGACACTGACCATGACCAGGAATGCCACTGTTACTGGGTGCTGGATCCTCTCAGGCCCGAGGAGGCCTCCAGCTCCACCTGTCACCTGCCCTGAGATGTGTAGCTCATGGAGATCCCAAAGCTGATGACTTCTGGGGTGAGGAAGAAGCCTATCCAGGTCCCAAGGCCATCCTTTAAAGCCACTGGTTCTGAAAGCAGTGAGCCTCAGTCTTCCCTGCTCTGATCAGGACCTGGATGCCCTTGCCCCAACCCAGGTCTCTCCCTGCCGCCAGCAGCTTGGATCAGCTGCTGCTGCCACTGAGGCCCTGGGAAGCCAGCACCACAGGACAGCAGTCACCACACAGGTGATTGAGAAGAGGCTGGATGATTTGCTGGTGTGTCATTGTCACAACAGCTTTGATATGAGGCAGTGTGGACCCTCTGAAGTGCTCTACCTAAAGCCATAATGACAGTATTCTACAATACACTAAATGATTTTCTATTCCTGCCCTTGACTTTCTGCCCTTACAGTTTTAAGGTATTATTTACCAAGCAAGACCCAGTGGATTGAATTGCTTCTTTAGTCCCAGCCATTGGTAAGGACTAGGTTTCAGGAAATGAGCTACTTTTAAGGAGAGCTGTGTGTTCTGCCTAGCTCCTTCCCAGTGAAAATCAAATCTCACTTGCAGAGTTCTGGGCTCACCCTCAACACAGAACTGTACAGGTGGAGAACAAGACTCCCTGTCTCCCTCCCTTGCCTGGTGGCCACAGTGGACTGACTCAGGCAGCGGCTACTAAGCAATTCAGCACCTGCCTGTCTCAGTGAGCACTGGTGCCTTACATCTGATCCTGTTCCTAAGACCTCAGATCTGTCCCCTGAGCAGGTTTTGTTCAGACTCTCCATTAATGCACAGTCCATTACCCTCAGATGACCTTTTTCTTGTCACAATGAACCTTCAGATTCTTGTCATCATGAACCTGAAGAGATGACAAATACTCTTCTCTAAGCATCACTCATGCATCCAGATGGCTGAATGCAAAACACCTGAACCCGCTGCTGAATCCCACACCCTGCTTCCTTCAATCTCCTCAAGTAAAATAGAGGAAAGGACAGGCCATGACCTGTTACCTCACAGAACAACCATGGTCCAGAGCTGGGGTTCTGGCTGTGCTGCTTGTGGTCTGTCTCAGCTCCTCCTCAAACAGCAGAGCTAGGACTTGCTACACCTGGACAGGTTTTGTGCAGGAAGATGGAAGACATCTGTGACCTAGGCATGAGAATTAAGAATTAATTATACTTTTAGTCTTTTTATAACCAAAACTTGGTTAAAAAAGCTCCATCCCCTGCTCTTGCAATGAGCAGTTGTGTTATCTGTGACTAGTTTATTTTTAGGTGTGGGAGATGGAAGGTTTAAAGGGGTTTTGTGTGGATAGAATTTAGAAATTTAAAGGGGAGATTGAGTTCCCCTCCTAGTCTGGTCAAAGGTGTTTCCAGTGGGATCAACTGAGCAAGGTGTAAAAGAAGAGGAGCGACTCCTGAGTAGATGATGTTCATGTGCGCATGTCTGCCTCTATGGTGGGAATCTCTTCCATTTCAATTGGCCAAGTTTAGGAGGAAACATCTGTAGAGAACTCTCAGCCAAGACTGTGTTACTGCTATCTGTGTAAATCAAATTATCAAAAGACACCAGACAGAATTGCAAAGGTAAGATCCTTCCAGTCCACCATCAGTTCATTTGCACAGTAAAACCTCAGCACAGGGGTGAATATTTGTCCATGCATTATAGGCTTTCTGGGCAGCAGACAGGCAAATAGTTGCGAGTACCAAGGAATATGGCCACTGAAATGTGACTTATACTCCCTTTTGTGTGTGAGTGTGTGTTTGTGTGTGTGGCACTGGAGTTTGAACTCAGGGCCTTGTGCTTGCTAGGCAGAGTTCTATCTCATGAGTCACTCTACCAGTCCTTTTTTATGTTGGGTATTTCCGAGATAGGATCTCTAAAACTTTGTGTCTGGGCTGGCTTTGAACCACAATCCTGATCTCTGCCTCCAGGGTAGCTAAGTTTAAAGGTGCTAGCCACTGGCATCCAATCCCATTTTCTTTAATGCATTTTGTCCTTCACATTTCCTCAGTCCCATGGCTTTGCCTGTGGTCCCCCATAGCCTGGATTCCATTCCCTCTATCCTTTACAGTGGGTCTGAGGTACTCACTTCAGCTGTCAACCTTGTATGCATTAACCACTGACCATCCACACACACAAGGTGCCACAGGTGCCCAGAGAGAAGGAGGAAATGGAAGGCGGTGATCAGCATGGCTTTTAATTGTTGATGCCACAAGGTCTTGGGCTTCAGCCTCACTGATGCAAAGCTCAGGGCCTTTGCTTTCCCTACAGTCACAGGACTTTTACACTGGAATCCAGGTGGATCTGCCATGGAAGTGAGGAGGATTTGCAACAAAGTTCAAGACCTCCTTCATTTCTGACCATTTCTCTATGAACATCCATGAAACGGCAACACCCCCATGCACAGACAGCCTGAAGCCACATCTTCACATTCTGATTCAGATTTCTGACTCCTTAAGACACATGTCCTAAAGGTCCCATCTCTCCCTACTTCAACCTGTCCCATCCAAATCCAAACCCCACTCCATCACCTTTACTATTCCCACACCCATCAGGAAGAAATTATATCTTCTGTTTTTCTTGACCAGATCCCTAGGCATTGACCTTCACTTCCCAGTACCCAGAAGAAAGCTTTTGACACTTGCAGTGAACTAGGCAGGCAGTCGACAGCAACAGAGACTCCTTTTCATGTTATACACCCATCTGTTGCCACATTGAGAGCAGGAGTCAATAGTGAACAAGACCGTCTTGTGTTGCCTAATGTTCCTCAGTGTATCCATGAGCTCAGCAAAATGTTGGGAAATTTTCCCTGTGCCCACAGCCCCCAGCTGGACCCTCCAGAAAAACAGGGTTTAGCTCCTGGCTCAACTGGCTCAACGTGGCTGTATGGTGCAGCAGGTCCCTCAGGACAGAAATGGAGATGTGGTTCTCAAAGAAGCTAAATGTGGTGAGCTGGGAACAGTGGCTCAGGGTAGGCAGAAGTGCAATGAGCTGGGGGTCCCAGAACCCACTGTCCACCAAGCCCAGGGTCTTCAGGGTGTCTGCAACTCTCTCTGGCAGAATTTGGAGTGGGTCAGGACACCCAAAGGCCAATGGGACTCCTCTCAGATCCAGGTGTTTTAGCTGGCAGATGCTCAGACAACTAGATCTGCAAGCTGGTAGTGAGTTATTGACAGGGACTCCATGGGGGTCTTCACGCACCTGAGGACAGACCAAGGAGTTAGTTCTGGCTAATGGAGGAGGATCAGGAAAGACCTTGAGGTCAGAGAGCACCACCTTCCCACCCACACCCAAAGTGGAACATGGTCTGAACATGGTCAAAACCAAGGATGCCACACGTTACAAGCGTGTTCTGTGGTCACCACTTTCTAGGCTGAGGTCTTTCAGCATCGCTGTGTGACTGATTCACTGCCCCCTCTCCACAGTGCCCTTTCATCACTATCACTCACAATGGTCCAGCTTTGGTCAATGGACTCTTGCAGGAAGGACAAATCCAGGCAAGATCTAGAAACCCCACTGGGGTTGCTATCTGTGATGCTCACTCGTCCCTGCATCCCCAGAATGGAATGTGTCACTACTCACTTGCTTTACTCCTTATCCTTACCCTCAACCCCAGTGCCACACAATTCCCATCCCTCCCCTGCATGTGCTCAACACCCTGCATTCACAGAAGGGGACTTAGACTCAGGCTCCTTCCTGCTCACTAATCTGCAGAGCTCAGGGCTACCAAGGTGACCTGTGCACATGTGAGGTGGTTCCCTCCTTCGGTGTCCTCTTCTCCTTCCTACTTCAACCACCTGAGCTCAGACATGCCTCCTAGGGAGGACCTCGCAGCCGACCGTTCCTACACCTGACCTCCACAGCTGGCTTCCTAGCATGAGGACTCTTTGGAGGCCATCCACCATGACTCTTTGACGTTGGAAAGTCTTGACTCTGCTCTACATCCATCCTCACCTGAGCACCTGGTGCAGGTGGCCATGCAGGAAGTAGGCACTGCTCATACAGAGTTTTCAGAGACAGCCGAGTTTGCTGAACTGAGAAGTGAAGGTGGCCACAAGCTGCTTGTCATTGTCTGGATCTATGTTTTCCAACACACAGATTTGAGAGATTCGGAGTTTGCACAGGTTTCTCATCTGGTGCATGTAAGAAGCAACATGTCCAGGTGCACAGAGTCCAGGGACAAAGCACGACTACCTTCTCCATCCACTCAGCTCCAATAGCCCCAGGACCCTGTGGATGGCCCATAGCCTGGAGCTGCAGGTGCACAGTCCTCAAATCTCCATCTTCCTACAGCAGAGCTATGTTGAACTTTTCCTGTGCTGGAACCACTCAAACAAGTGTATTTGAAGTTCATCACGGTCATCAAGGTCCAGGTTAAGGTCAACTATCAGCCTCAAGGGCTGCTTCACCCCTGTCCTTGGAGGACCCTCCTCTACTTGGTTCCTGATCTTGGCCTGTGGGGCCCAGTCCAGGCCATGGCATCTGACCATACGTTCCAGAAGTTCTGGTGCACAGTCAGCAGGTCCAGCACCTGCAGTTTCCACCTCCTGCGGAGAAACAGGGAGAATCTGAGAATTTTTTTGACAGTTTTTTAAATGAGTTGTTCTAATTCAAGGTGATACAGGGTTCAGAGTATAGCAAAGACCAAAGAGCAGAGTCTAGCAGGATTCTAGGCTGGGTTTACTTTAAATTCACAGCTGAGGTACAAATGGGTGACATAGTGGCTGACATACTAAACACAAGGATCCACTGTATTACAATTTATTTTTTACAGAAGGTGCTTATTCTTAAATGTACAACAGACTCCAACACAACGTTTCATGCTAGCTGTAGATGGCAAAAGATGCTATGGCAGGAAACCCAGATGTTCAAATAGGAATGGAATCAGGGTCACCATCATCTCAAGCACAGGGAACATGTTACTTTTTGTCAGATTTCTTAATTCCACCTGTGGACAGGGGGCCATTTTCCGTAGCCTTGCTTTTAGCTCCTTGAGTTTCTTCTGCTCCTCTTTTTGTTTCTGCTTAAAAGCCTTGTCTCCCTCATCCATCTCCTTGGCCTGCTTCTTGGCTGTTTCGGGGGCATCTTCTTGCCACCTTCACCCCCAGACATGGCACCTGCCATCCCTTCCCCAAGATCCTGATTCTAAGTCTGAGAATCTTGTCACATCCAGCTGTGCTTCTATTCCCCATCCTTCCATCCTCCCATCCTGGACATCACTGTGCCCTTTTCAGTTTCATCACCATCTTAGTTTTCCTTCTTTCTTTCCTTCTGTTTTTATTCCTATTTTTCTTCCTCTTTTTTTCTTGAAGTGCTGACCACCAATTTCAGGGCCCCATGCTCATTGGAGCTCCTCAGCTGACCTTCATGGGCAGAACTCTCACTTCCTTTTCTCTACCCCCTACCTATTGGCTCCCAACTGGCCCCCACTTCTAACACTTGTGGGAGGACACAGGTACAGCTCCTTCTGCCATCCCCTCATCCATCCTTATAAGTCCTCCACTCTCAGAGGCCTTTCCCAGGTGGAGCTCAGCAACAGCCCTGGTCTTTTTAATATCTTCAGTTGCTCCATCAGTTGCCTGTAGCCCATCCCTTCCCATCTCTCTATGTCTCCAACTCATAGACCCCAGCACCCTGCCTTCTATGTTCCCTGAGTCACACTGACCTGCTGGCCAAGTAGCATGTCAAGGCCATCCAGGGTGAAGTTTATGGTATCCAGGCTTGTAGTTTCATCAGGCCCCCAGGAAGAGCCAGGCTTGCACCATGGCTTTCAGGATCTCAGTCTTTCAACAGACAAAGGTCTCCATGGAGAGCAGAGGGAAGAGTTTAATGAGCAGCAACTCCAGAACAGAGATGGCCAGGGCCTCATTCCTCAGCAGGCTCTGCCCTGCCAGCTGTAAGAAGGTGGGTGGGGCCTTGAGGCTCATTCTGAAGGATCTCTAATGGAGGCTCCTGGCAAGTGTCCAGGAAGATGCCTGCTTCAGGCCAAGGCCGAGAAAACCCATACTCACCATCCAAGGACCCAACTTAGGACCCAAGTCATTGTTCTGCAATGGTAGAAGAGACCTCAGTTTACCCCATTTCCTTCAGAAAGTAAGGACCACAAAGCTTCAACTTTGTGACTTTGGCAGCAGGATGAGTGTCTTGCCACCACCAATGTGCGCACAAGTTCACTATTGCCCATGCATTTCCTACCACTGCTCCTATGACTTCAAGCCCCACCCCTTTCCTGGAAGGATGCTAAGGAACCTGAAAACTCACCCCAATATTTTAGTCATTAGGTTTCAGGTCATCACTCAAGGTCCTAAAACCAAGGTAAGGGAAATCCCATGTGACCATCCTCACATGGAACATTCCATGTTCCATCTTAATTAACCTGTTGGAACAGATGAAGGAGACTCAAGAAAATGGCACCACTCATTTTTGCTTTTCCAGTCCTTGAAGAAGCGATTGTGGAAGCCATGGGGCAGTGTGAGGCAGCATGTGGGAAACTCTGACTCTGAGGTGGAAACCCTGAGCTTAAGATGAGCTCTGACAGGGGGATTCCCACATGCCATCCCCACTCCTAGGAGCACTGAGCACTGGGAGAAGAGCCTGGAAGGCCTGGGTCAGAACAGGGCACCACCTTTAAAGTCTGTATAGACTGAAGTGACTGGGGGTTCCCTGGGATCCAGGAGATCCTGGGTTGGATCCCTAGCTGCAATAAATAAATACAAAAAAAATCAATCAATACAAAAATAAATAAATAAATGGAAGTTGAACACATAAGACACCAGTCCAAATACTGTGCAAAATGCTTTTAAATTTCCTTCTTTTTTTCCTTTTCCTTTCATTCTTCCTGTTGTGACAGTGTCTCTCCCTGTAGCTACAGTTAACCTCCTGCCTCAGCCTCCCCAAAGCTGGAATTACAGTTGAGCCACCATGCTCAGATTCAGCTTTGTTTTAAACTTTATTCGCAAGGGATCTGGAGATCCCAGGGCGGGTACCCATGCCTCAAAGAAGAGCATTGGGGCAGCTAAGGCAGAGAGACTGTGAGAATTACAGTTAAGTCTGGGCTGAATAACGAAAATAAGTCTCCAAAATAATTAAGTGAATGAATTAACGAATGAGAATTTAAGATGTAAAATCACAAGACAGCCTAGTCAGATACTATAAGTTAAAGGATTAAAGTAATATTTAAATTGTCCAGTCAAATTGATGGTGCTGTTTCTTCTTGTGCCAGACACTGTCTCAATAACCAAAACAACAACAAAACTTTAAAAATGGCATGAATCAGAGAACACTCAATATATTTGGGCACCTGGCATCTTTGGTTCACACCTTCAATGCTTATTACTAGGGAGGCAGAGATCAGGAGGATTGTGGTCTGAGGCCTGCCTGGGCAAATATTTGAGAGACCCTATCTTGAAAATACCCAAAACAGATCCTTTTTTGCTGCTTAAGTGTGATGACTGGGCGTTCACATCTTTGCACGACATGTGCATTCCTGTTACAACATTGGCACATTACCTGCTGACAAAAAAAAAATATATGCAACACAAAAAGAAAAAGGGCTGGAGGAGTGGCCCAAGTGGTAGAGTGCCTGCCTAGCAAGCATGAGGTACTGCTTTCAAATATAGGTACTGCCAAAAAAAGGAAAAAAAGGCTTAAACTTGTTCATCTGAACTGAAGAGGTAGAAGTCATAAGATTCTCAGTGACACCCTGGTGCAAGGCCACAGCTGACCCTGGCTAGGGAGGGTCGGGGTGTCCTTATGGAGGTGAGTCACTTACCAGATGTGGACGAGGTGCCCAGGGCTCTCTGAATCCCAGCAGAGCCAGGCAGTGACTCCAGGCTCCAGGACTCTGCTTCTCTTCCTTTGGCTTCTCTAAAGCTTTCTTGACCATTCTATAAGCACCTCCTCTTTTTCAACAACCTCCTGTCCAAGCAGAAAGAAGCATCCGAATCAGATTCCTGCAGCTCCACACAGTTAATCCTGATTGGCTGTTCAACTTTCTCCACATCAGTTGAGTGAATCAGATGTCCCTCCCTGAAACAAAAAGACTCAAGAATGGTGTGAAGGTCAAGGACCCACTGATTGATCCACTGCACCCCATTGGTGGTGGTTTTCTGCTCTGGGACCATCATAATCCTGTGTGTGAGACATAATCCTGTGTCTGTTCCTGATGTTAGAGAAAGCAAAACCTGAAAATATGACAACCATATGAATTTGTTGCAGAGTTAAAACACCTGGGCAGGTGCAGTGCGCACACACTACTTGGAAGGTTGAGGGGGAGGGGGTCCATTGAGCCAACACCTTGGAGGCCAGCCTGGGCATCGCCCTGAGACCCTTCTCAAATAAATAAATGAAAAAAATTTAGAGAACACAACATTTTGTGAATCAACAGAAAATACATTTGGGAAATAAATTAAGAATATTCAGAGAAGATCTCTGTGTGCCAGGACACTGGTCCTGCCCACAGGCTCTCATCCTGGGCCACAGACCACAAAGGACACTGCAGGGATCTGCTATTTATTTATGTATTTGTTTGTTTATTTATTTATTTTTGTTACTGGGGTTTGAACTTAGAGCCTACACCTTGAGCCACTCTACCAGCCTTTTTTTCTGAAGAGTTTCTTCAAGATAGGGTATAGTGAATTATTTGCTGGAGTTGGCTTCAAGCCATGATCCTCGTGATCTCTGCCTTCTGAGTAGCTAGGATTACAGACTTGAGCCACTGGCGCCCAGTGGCTTCACCCATTTCTAAACACCACAGCAGGTGAAACCCACCCCAACCATGTCAAGGGAGCCTATGGCATTTTTAACATGGAGAGCCCTTGCTGCAGTGGATGACGGGAAGGGTGAGGGGCATAAATCTCTCCACTCACTCTCTTTGCAGCCCAGAAACAGGCAATGCTTTTACTACACTCACTTCTTGTTGCATGAGCTCTATAATGTGGATAAAAACCAGACCCAGTGTTTAACATATATCTGTTTCTCTTCATTCTGGATTTAAAGATAACTCACCTTAGCTGAGCTCTGATGGTTTACACTTATAATCCTAGCTACTCTACTTGGGAGGCAGAAATCAGGAGGATCAAGGTTCAAAGACAGTCCCAGCAAATAGTTCAAGACTGGGATAAAGTCTGGGTGACAGTTTCCATAGCACTTTGGTTTTAAAATACAAAGCCTCAGGGGCAGCATGGAGCTCAATGGTAGAGTCCCTGTCTAGCATTCACCAGGCCCTGGGTTTGATCCTAATCACTGCAAAACAAATAAATTTAAATTGAATTTACCCCTTCCCCCTTTCTCAGTCTGTTCAATGAGTTCACTGACAAAGAGAACAAGTAAAAAGAGAGGGAGGGTGACACTCCTCTGAGTCTACCCAGGTGCCACTGGGCTCCAGGCTAGAAAATTGGCACCTTTTACAATGAAGACAGATGTAGGTATAGATCTGGACTTCACAGGGTGGACTTATGTCCCTCAGTACCTTCTCCAACTTTGCTCAAACATGGACAAATCTCTCACTGTCAGTAGTATCCCAATTGGTGCCATAGCTTTCCAGAGGGGCAGGATACAGTGCTCGGCTTACCTGGCTCAGCCTGGCAGTGTGTCTCAGCAGGTTCTCCAGGGTGACCATGGAGATGCGGTTCCCAAAGAAACTGAACATAGTGAGCTGGGAGCAGCAGCTCAGGGCGGGCAGGATGGCATCAAGCTGGGAGTCGGTGATCTCACACTCCTCCAGGAGCAGGCTCTCCAGGGTGCCGGCCAGTGTCTCTAGCAGAGCTCCAAGGAGCTCTAGTCTCAAGTCTTTTAAAGAACAGTCCTGTAGGTGCAGGTACTTGAGCTGGCTGGTGGTGGACACTGGGACAGGTGCATCCAGTCTGACAGCTTTAGCGGACTTGAACTCAAAGAGAGGATCTCCAAGGGTGTCTGGCTCCTGAGGAGAGAGCAGAGTTAATTCTAGTGAATCATGATGGTGGTGGTGGTGAGTGGAACCACATGAAAATGACCTCCATGAAGGAGAACTTGTGGACAAAGGTGCTTCTGACCGTCTGATGAAGGTCAGGCCCCTGGAGACTGTGTGCTGCAGCCTCTGCTCACTCAGTCTCCCGTTCTAGGTTGAGGACTTTCACGGTCACAGTGGAAATGGCTCAGTGCCCATCATTACAGCACTCTTTCTTCCTCACTGAGGTTCCCTCCTAAGGCTCTCTCACCCCCTGTGTCCTCAGCAATGCATCTTTCCCTGTTCACAACTCCTCACACCTGCTCTCACCCTCAACCACAGAGTCACACACCATCTCCTACCTGAACTCCCAAACACCTTCAAAAGAAGGCTGGTCCCCTTCCACAGCTGTGAGCACAGAGCTCCATGGGGGTCCTGTGCAGGTGTAGGGGGCCTCCCTCCTCCAGTGCCCCTCCTCCTTCTTAGTTCCACCACCCGGGCTTAGACATGCTTCCTAAGGAGAATTCACAGTCCCCTCACCATGGGTCTGATCTCCACAGCTGGCTTCCTGTTATGAGGGCCCTGCACAGAACACCAACCCCAGTGTAGCCAGATGCACCTCAGGGGTGGATATGTGAGGCCAGAATTCAAGAGGGAGCACTGGACCCGTCAATGCATTCCCTTTCTGAACCAGCCTAGTCCCCACTTCCTAGCACCTGTGTTTGGATGCAAGTAGAGGCTCCTGCCATCCCTGCCTCCATCCCAAGTCTTCCACACCAGGAAGCCTTTTCCCAGATGTCCCAAGCCCCTGGATGGAGCCCTCAGAAGCCTGTTGCCCGCTCTTCACCTCCTGCTCTACCTGACTCCAGCTACCTCTTCTCTTGATTTCAAGGTCCTTGCTTCTATGACACCTGGGTCACATTCACCTGAACCTGCTGAACAAGCAGCATATCAATCTGGATGGTCCCCAAGTTTCGTGTCTTCATCATGGTTCCCAGAAGGAGGCAGGGGAAGGGCCAGGCCTGCTCCATGGCCTTCAGGATCTCAGTGCTTCTGCAGGAAAAGGCCTCCTTGAAGAGTTGAAGGAAGAGCCCCAGTGGCAGGCTATCTACAGAAAAAACATCCAAGGCCTGGTTCCTTAGCAGGATCTGCATTGACAGCTCTTGGGGCCTTGGTGCTCATCCCGATGGGTCTGCAATGAAAATAATCCTGGAAAGCATCCAGAGACAGGCATCCTTTCAGGCTCTGTGAGGTAGACAAATCCTGATCCAGTGTTTAACATGTATCTGTTTCTCTTGATTCTGCATTTAAAAATAAATCACATTAGAAGAATTTCTGAAACATCAGTACCTGGGTTTTTGTTTTTTGGGGTTTTTTTGAGACAAGTTCTCCTATGTAGCCAGCCCACTCTGACCTTGACCTCTCTCTTTTTGCCTCAGGAGTAGATTGCAGGGCTATCCCACCATGCCAGCTTGAATTGGTGTGTTCTGAGTCACAGAAAATAAGACACAAGTCCACCAACACTCTTAAATGCGCATTTAAATAATTAAAGCTGTATTTAGGTGAATTTTATGACTTTCTGAGAGAGTTTCAGCATTTTGCTCCTATTTGAAAATGTAGTTAGAGCAGTAAGAGTGCCTGCCTAGCAAGCAACAAGTGCGAGGCTCTGAGTTCAAACCCCAGTGCAACAGAAAAAAAAAGATGAAAATGTAGTTAGGATAGTAAGTGACCTGGCTATTGTGTTGCAGAGGAGAATGTTTGTCCTTTGCAGTGTATGGATAGAACCAAGGCCTCCAGGTATCCAGGCAAGTGCTCTACTCCTGAGCTCCACCCCCAGCCTGACAGTCCCTTTGACATTCTTGCATGAACACCAGAGCCAGGCTTGGTGGCTTGTGCCTATTTTCTCAACAATGGGGAAGCAGAGGCAAGAGGATTGGAAGTTCAGTTCACCCTGTGATTCATTGGAGATTCTGCCTCACAAGAGAAGAAAAAGAGAGAGCAGCCAAGAGGGAGAGAAGGAAAAAAGACAGGAAGGGAGGAAAGGAGAGAAGGAGGAACCTACAGGCCAATATCCCAGATGAACACAGATGCAAAATCATCAAGGCAATACTAGCAAAGAGAATCCAGCACACCTCGAGGAGATCATTCTCTGTGATCTGGTGGATCCATCCCAGGGAAGCAAGGATAGGTCAACATCTGCAAGTCAAGGAATGTCACATTCCACACCAGAAGAATAAGGTAGAAAATTATACCATTCCCAGAATACATGCAAAAAAAAAAGTGACATATAACATTCAAACAGGATTTATTTATTGATTTACTGATTTTTTTTTATGACAGTGCTGGAGACTGTACTCAGGGCCTCAAGCTTGCTAGGCAAGGACTTTACCAATTGAGTCACAGGCCCAGACCTTTCACTTTTTAGGTCCTTTTAGACAGGGTTCCTTACTTTTACAGGCACATTTTTATGAATTTAATGCAATTTGAGAAAACATATTAATAATACTTTATTATAAGAATATGTTAACGAAGGCTTAACATATTTTTTTTCAGTGGAAGGTGCTGTTGATCCAAGGAAAGGCTGGTAGCAGGGACAACCCTGTGGAGGGCCAAGGCATCCAGGCCCTGATTAGGGTAGGACATGTCTTTGGCCCACGGCCCCCAGGAGCTGGTGGCTTCAATGAGTTCCTTGGGACCTGGAACACCTTGAGCACCATGTGCATGCCTGGGTGGTCTTGCTGTGGGATGCACATGCTGCTCTGCAACAGGAACATGTCTAGGCTGAAGCCACATGTGTCCCACACACATGTGCATGTATGTGACCCACGGCAGGTGGGGCAGCAGTGCCTGAAGGGTGGACCTGCATGGGGAGATGCAGAGGTCCTCTCCTTGGGTCTGTGCCATCACATTCTTCAGCTGGCTCAGGTTCTCAGCGAGGTCAAGGGACACTGGCGTTTCAGATCCACAGACCATTCTGTAGTTGGCAGTGCTGTGTTCCTCCTGCCCACCAGCTGGATCAGGGGAGCAGGACTGCATGCCACAGTGACCCCATCCCATCCTCTCTCCTTGAGGAGCCCTACTATCTACCCCTTGTGGTCCCCTGCACCTGCCATGGCTGTGTGAGCAAGACCCCAGACCCCACAAGTACCCACTCATTGGACACAGGCCAAGTATAGGCAAGTGCCCAGGAGGGTCATCCTGTGTCCATCCCTGTGTTTATTTATTTGTTATTAGTAAATGTGTTTGGGGTAACTTTTTTTCCTTTCTTTTATTTTTTATTTTTGGCAGCACTAGTGTTTGAACTCAGGACCTCATGCTTACTAAGCAGGTACTCTTACCATGCAAGCCACTCCACCAGCCCTTTTTGATAGGTTTTTTCAAGATAGGGTCTCCAGAACTATTTGCCCAGAGCTGGCATCAAACCTCCATTCTCTTCATCTCTACCTTCTAAGTAGCTAGGATTATAGGCATAAACCACTGGTGTATGGCCAGGGTTACTTTTTTTATTTTTTGCAGTACTGGTGGTGTTTGAACTCAGGGCCTACACCTTGAACCACTCCACCAACCCTTTTTTGTGAAGGAATTTTTTCAAGGTAGGGTCTCTTGAACTATTTACCCAAGCTGGCTTCCAACCCTGGTTCTCCTGACCTCTGCCTTCTGAGTAGCTAGGATTACACACGTGAACCACCAGTGCCCTGACAGGGTTAGTTTCCTAAATGTCAGCTCAGGCTGGCTATTGTCACAGGCATAGGTCCTCAGGAATCATTTCATAAGGGGTCACTGTGTGTTTTCTTACAGAAGTGGGTCTAACTGCCTTTAGGCCAGGGCTAAAACTTTTGGCCAAAGCACTTGTCAATTCTTCACTTGTCTAACTTTGCTCTCAGGATAATTTTTGTTCATCAGACTTTCCAAAACATTGAATGTGATAAGATTACTGCCATTTGATTCATAAGATTTGATCTAACTCTTTGCCCAGTAAGTGAATCTCATGCTGCTGGATCTTTACGGAAGGGTGTGGCAAGTGCTAGAGAACCACATGTCTGAGTCATCTTATTACTGATGGGCAAGCCTTTCTGCAGGGGAAAGCCTCCTCTATCGTGGAAGACCCAAATCACCCAGAGTGCATGAAGTCCCTTCTGGGGATAAAATGACTGAAATCAGGTGTATATGGTCAAATTGTCCAGCAGGGAGCAGAAATGCACAGCTTGAAAGATTCTCTCTGGGCTCCTGAGTCTGACAAGCCAGAAGGGGTTCCAAACAGTATTTGCTGTTTTAGAACCACGATCCCCACAGAGTATTAGATACCAACTGAAAATACTGTCTGAAAATTTGCATTTTTGTTGTTATGAACTGATTACAAGCAGTTTGCTATGCAGTAAACAGACAGTGCCTGTCATGTGCCAGGCTCTCTGCTCAGAGGGTGACAGAAACACAGTCCCTGTCCTTTAAGGGGGAATCTCTGTTGATTTGTTGTTGTTGTTATTGTTGTTGTTTTGTTGTTGTTTTTTTAAATAAGTTAACCCGCTTTATTGTTGGCTAGCAATGTCCCAAATGGTAGAGCTTCTACTGGTCTTTTAACTCCTTCAGTCTTCTGATGGCAGACTTGACTGTGACTGCTGACATGGTGTTGAAGGTCCAGGCACCACCAGTCACTGTTTCCATGCAGGAACCACAGTGCCAGATTCCCAGATTCTTCATCTTCGTTTTGCCACAGAAGGAGCAGGTGTACTTGGCATGCTGGCAGATTTCAGTTTTCTTCTCCATTTTCCAGAGGGAGGCACCATAGTGGATCCCATATTTACCAATAACCCTGATCTTGCTGTGTTTGGCCCTGCTGCCACAACCTAGGCCCAAGCCGGAGAGCAAGGGGCAATCTCTAACAGGCGAGATTGCCAAGGAAGTAAACCACACCCTTATCACACCCTCCAGAAACCATCTCCTAGAATTTCCTCAGATAGCTAAACCTGGGACTCTATTTGTAATTGCAAAACTTGAAAAGGACCAAGCTTCCCTCCAATGAATGAATGCATAAATAAACTGCAGTCCATCCAGACAATGGAATATTACCAGGCCTTGAAAAGACATGGGGATCCTTAAGTGCATGTGACTAAGAGAAAAAGACAATTTGAAAGTGCTGCTTAAAGTTTGACATTCTATAAATGGCAAAAAAGTATGGAGACAGTAAAAGGCCATTGGTTGCCAGGAATGGGGGGAGGTGTGAATAGCCAGAGCACACAGGGATTTTAAGGAAGTGACACTCCTCTGGAGGACCCTATAATGGTGGGGATGAGTTATTCTTCAGTTGCCAAATCTATAGAATACACAGCACCAAGAGCGAGGCGTGATGGAAAGTGTGGAGTTTGGTGGCAAGGCTGTGGCAGTTTGGTTCATTACCTATAAGACCTGTAGCACTCTGTGCAGGTGTTGATCCTGGGGAAGGCTGGGCTGTGTGGGGCAGGGAGGTCATGGGAACTCTGTATGTTTTTCTTAGTGTCACTCTGATCCTATGACAGCTCTGAAAATCACATCCATGTGAGGAAGACATACAGTATTTGGTTTCAGCTCTAATACTATACTATTCTCATTTTTTATTAAAAAGAAACAATTCTTGTTCATTTTTAAAGGTTAATTATAAAAATGACAACACAAAAATCCATATCCAAGCAGCAGTTATCTACAAACAGATTTTTTTGGCAATACTGGGGTTTCAACTCAGCACCTCATACTTGCTAGACAGGTGCTTTACTACTCGAGCCACTCCAACAGTTCTAACAGCAGATTGTAGCAACTACCATGTAGAGTCCTACTGGTAACAATAACTCATTTCATGTGGTCTGAACTGTGGTGAGCAGATCCTGTCACTTGGAAATTTCTCAGAAGCTCACTAGAGATGCATCAGTGATGTGCCCCATCTTGTCCCACTGCTGGCTGTCAAAGTTCTGCCTTTTGGATGAACCCTGATACATTGCACTGCAGGTAAAAGGGACATCCCATGGTGTGCCTGTGGCCCTGCTCTCCTCCCACTTACCAGGAACAGAGGATGAACTGGAGGATGGGGATGGGTGGATGTCTCCTAAGAAGATGAAGAAGGAAGCACCATGCTGGTGGAGTGGCTCGGGTGGTAGAGCCCCCGGCAAATAAGCATGAGGCCCCGAGTTAAAACCCTGAATACAGGGTAAAACCTGAGTACAGCAACAAAAAGAATGAATTTTAAAAAGGAAAAAACAGCATTTATTGAGCTCTTACTGTACACATCATTTCATTGCTATCAGTGTCCCCATGAGCTGACTGTGTATTATTACCTCATGGACAGGCAAGTTTGGGTCTTGCCTCAGTGACCCTGCCACACCACCAGACCCTAAATCCAGAGCAGCTGTTCTTCTTTAGGAACAATCACCCCAGAAAAGGTCAAGCATTTACCCACAGAGAACCTATTATTCATCCTGTGATGATGTGAGGAATTCACAAGTGACTACATTGGTCTCCCTTCATAGGAGGAGAGGTGTATCTTGAGGTCTCTCATTGACGTGTCACCACATGTAACATTTTTATACAGCACAGAAATAGTCATGTGTTACATGCCTACCTGATTTAAATTTCACTAAAGGAAATGTGAATGTCTTTCCTGACAACTACTTTAGTTCAACTCACCAGGATGGCAGGCAGGGGTTGGGAAGACCCAGAGCTCTGGCTAATACACAATGTGGAGTCCCCTCCAGTATGGGGGGGAGTGGGACAATCCTTTCCATGTGTAGTGAAGCCTTTTACCCACGCAGCCAAAGACCCAGACCTGAAGCTCCTGGATCCACCTATCAGGAACTTGGCATCTGGTTGGTAATGATGGAAGGGGCTTTATTACAATGGATGACACTAATTACCCACCTTACATTTTCCAGGCCTTGTGTGTGCACCTTGTGGAAATTACCAACATGGATTCATGATAGGATTTTGCTCCTATCAAAATGGAGACAGGAAGAGCCCTACACCTATGGCCCTCATATGTAAGGGATTCTTCAAAACCACAGGATTCCGGGTGAGCTCTTGCACAAGGGTGTTACCTAACAATAGCTGTCTTCCCCAACGATTAACACCAACTCCTGCCCCAAGCTTCTGTGACCCTTGGTCTTTCAAAATAACGCATGAGGGCTACTTTCTGCCATATACACATTCCGTTTCCTCTTTGGGTGCCCCTGTGGTATAGCACAGCATGCATGCTCCAGAATGGAACTAAATGCACCTCCCAAGTTAACTTGACCTTGGAAAGTTAGTCTCTGATGCATATTCTTGGTGTGCCACCTGTTTTGTAAGAACTCAAAAAAAAAAAAAAGCCAAAGAAGAAAGCAAAGAATAACAAGCGTGTGGGAAAGGATGATCAAAATGGCCCAGTTTCACTGAATGCTGTGAAGTCCTGGACCAAACCTCATTGAACAGATAACGGATTTCCGTGGATTACACCGGACACTAGGTGAAATGATCACAGAAGACACCAGATGGTTTACGCTGAGGTTCTCTTTATTTCTTTACAACTATCCACAACAGGAGCAATGCCCTGGGTTATCTCTCAAGCAAGATTCTACCTCTGGAAACTCGTTCCTATTTCTAATCAACCTAATACACTTGTCCCTGTATGTTTCATCAACTCCCCAGGTCAACAATTCCCCTCCAAGGATCCCCTGGGTCCCCCGTAGGAAGGACCTACACTGCAGGTTTCTGTTCCTGCATGCCCAGAAGTAAGTTTTCAATGTTTGCACTAACTAGATAGAGCTACACCCGCGACACTGATTTGGACCTGGTTCGTACAGTGCCTGGTTGCCACAGAGAGGACAAGGAATTGTACTGAACCACACTGTCCTGGGATGATTTGACGGCTTCACTATCAGTGCAAGCTCATCCCGAAGCTGGCCCAGTCTCCTCCGGTAGTGGGCACCATGGACACCATAGACCTCCAGGGGGGTGGAGTACATCTCTAGGCTTAAGTGGCCCAGCTGGATAGTGTGGCAGAGTAGCTTCTCCAGGACGGCCACAGACATGGGGTTCCTTAAGTAGTTGAACGTGGTGAGCTGGTGGCAGCGGCTTAGGGCAGGCAGGAGGGCAGTGAGCTGGGAGTCCCTGATCCCACAGTCTTCCAAGTCCAGGGTCTTCAGGGTGTCTGAGACTCTCTCTAGCAGAACTCGGAGGGGCTCAGGGCTGAAACGGGTCAAGGTGACACCACTCAGGTTCAGATGTTTTAGCTGGCGGATGCTTGGGCACTGGGACAGATGCTTCAAGTCTGATTCTGCAAGCTGACAGTCAGTCATTGAGAGGGCTTCCAAGGGAGTCCTCAGGCACCTATGGAGAGACCAAATAGTCAGATGTTGGAATTAGTGGACAGTGGGGTGGGATGCTGGGGAATGACTTCAAGGTGGATAGAAACTCCTAGCCCACTCTCCCTAGGTCTGATCCCCCACAGCTGGCTTCTGGGCATAGTGCTTATGTGAGACCTGGTTTAACAACTGAGCAGTGAGCAAGATAAGACGCCAATGTTCCTGTGTTTCCATCTCTATGACATCCCCAGTGCTGGGACATAGTAGGTGCTCACAAAATTTACTATGACAAAGCCAAGTCTCCCTTGGGACTGCAGGGCAAGCTCTCCATCCTCCTCACCTGAGCACCTGGTCCAGTGGCCTTCCAGGAAGGAGACAGAGTCCAGGGAAAGCTCCTGCAAGCAGGCCAGGTTGAGAAGCTGAGAGGTGAATTGCACAACCAGCTGCTTCTGCTCCTCTGGGGAGATGGAAGCAGGCACCTTGATGTGAGAGAGAAGTAGTTTGAGGAGATTTCTCATCTGGCCCAGGTAAGGAGCAAAGGCAGCTAGTGTGGACAGCTGCCAGGTGCAATTCACTTGCACTTCCTGCATCCAGTCAAGCTGCAACACTTCCAGAACCTTCCTGATGCTTTGGATGTGAACTGTTGAAATCTTCAACTTCCTACAGCCCAGCTGTAATAAACCTTTTCTTTCCTGGACCCACAGAAGGAGATAGGAGAGAAAGGCATCCAGGATGCTTTGCTTGAGGCACACATCTACTAACACCGTCAAGGGCTGCTTCTCTCCCATCCTGGGACCATTCTGCTCTGTTGGCCGCTTTTTCTTCTTACTCTTGGCCTCTGTTGAGCAGGCATTGGCCATGTTTCCAGACCATATCTTCCAGAAGTTCAGATGCACGTTGCGCAAATCTAACACTTGTAATTTCCACCTCCTGTGGATGAAAACAAGAGCCTCGGAATTTAGGCAAGGACCCAGCCTTCTACCTAGAAAGCTGTTTTGTTTTGTTTTGTTTTGTTTTAAGACAGGGTCTTGTTATGTAGCCCAAGCTGCCTTGAACTACTTCCTGAGCCTCTGGAGTGTGTTTGCCACCAAGCCTGGATTCTCCCTGTACTTACCCCTCATCCTCAACAGAACTTACTCCAGTCTATCTTACTTTATCTGCCCTGGTCTCCTTGAATCCAGTGTGATCCCCACAACTGACATCTGTGGGAGGAGGAAGCTACAGCTCCTCAGCCATCCTGCATCCATCTTAAGCATCCTACACTCCAGAAGTCACATACCATGTGGGTCCTGCAATGGCCCAATGCTTTCTATTCCTCTTGGCTGGTGCAATTAGAAGTCTCTGAGCCACCCTTTGTCCCCCACTCTTCCTTCCCCACTGTTTCTTCCTGAATTTCCAGGGCCTCTGACTTCCAGGCTACCTTGGCCTCACTCACCTGGGTCGAACCTGCTGACCAAGTAGCATATCGAGGCCATCCAGGGCAACCTGTAAGGTCACCACGTCTCTTGTCTTCATCAGGGCCCCCAGGGGAAGGCAGAGGAAGGGCCAGGCCTGCACCATGGCCTTCACGATCCCAGTGCATCTCCTGGTGAAAGCCTCCATGAAGAGAGGAGGGAAGAGCTCCATGGGTAGTTTCTCCAGAGCAGAGATGGCCAGGACCTCGTTCCTCAGCAGGCTCTGCCCTGCCAGCTGCAGGAGGGTGGGTGGGGCCTTCATGCTCATTCTGAAGGATCTGCAGGGAAAGGAGCCTGGGAAGCATCAGGAAGAGGCAACCTGTCAACCTACACCTGAGCAAATCCCTTTCTCCACCCATCAGAGGGACCAAGTCAGAACCTTGGTCCCTGCTGTCACATGCTGGAAGAGTCCTCAGTTTACCCATCCATTTCCACTGCCAAGTAGGGACTGCAGAACCTTCAAGTTCACACCCACCCTGGGTCCTATCATCTCCCAACCCCCTAAAACAAAGAGACAGGAAATGTCCTGTGGTCCAGGCAGTCCCCATTCTCAGTTCCCCTATTAACCTGCCTGGGAAACATTTAGGAGACTCTACTAGTTGCCATTTCAAAACATCTTGAAAAGGTAGTTTTTCTTCCTAGATCAGAAATGGGCAAATGCATGGACAAGTCCCTTCTCTCTTCCTCACTCCTATCTTCCCCAGATATCTGGTTAGTTTGCCCTGCCTTTTGAGTGACTTTGAAAAACTTGGTTTTTTTGGTGGGAGGGGGATACAGTACTAGGGTTTGAACTCAGGGCCTCCTACTTGTTAGGGAGGCACTCACCACCTGAGCCACGCCCCCAGACCCTTTTTAGCTTTACCCATTTTTCGTGTAGAGTCTCCGGCTTATGTCAGGGGTGGCCTCCATCTTTCATCTTACAATCTAAGCCTCCCATCGCCATAGCTGGGATTAAAAGGGTGGCATTTCTTTCCACCTTTGTTTTTCTGGTATGCAAATATGCTCACTAAATTTTTAGAGCAATTAATCCATCACTCACATTTCCTATTGAAAAACTGAGGGCTGAAGGATCTTGGGTTAACTGAACAAGGTCGCAAGGGTACTGCCCGCTGCTCTGGGATGTTCTATCACTCCATGCTCCTCCCCCCACCCCGCCCCCTCCCCTCCTCCTCCCCACCCTCACCTCACGTCTCTGTCCCCGACTACTCTCTGTTTGCAGTGACTTTGTGCCCCTGAAATCCCCACCCCACCTACCACAGTCGGTCGGGCTGCACGGCGAGGAAGAAATAGAGGAGGGAGCACACCCCAAGGCCCACCCTTCGGAGTCCTGCTGGCATCCGGCGCCTGGACCCTCCCCCTCGGGCATGCGCAGTCTGCCCCGCGGGCTCCGCCTCCATCCACGCCGGCCGGCAGGGGGCGCCCCGGTGCCACAGCTCTGCTGGGGAGGGTGAAGTGTGCAGGAGCAGGATGGACCAGAGAGGGTCTGAAAACCCTAGGGATGAGCATGGAGAGTCACAAAGGGACAGACGAGCATCCGTCCCCATCCTCCTTTCTCGTCTCCTACTGGCACTGCCCGCTAAAGTCCCCGCCATTTTGTGCTGTGTGCGTGGAGTGGCGTCAAATCTTATTACAACGTCCCTGTAATGGGTGACACTGTTGTGTTCCCTTCACTTATCATTTTGCATGGAAATTCACTTATAGATGCTGGATACATTGCAAATTTCAAAGACTACCCACAGGAAAGGAATTCCGGTTCTCCCTTCCACCCCCGCCCCATGCTCGCTAGCCATTTCCTTCCACAGGCTGTTTTTTTAAAAAAATTTGTCCAGCCACCGGTGGCTCAAGCCTGTAACCCTAGCTACTCGGGAAGCTAAGATCGGGAGAATCATGATTCAAAGCCAACCCCGAAAATAGTTCATGAGACCTCATGACCCCATCTTTTTTTTCCTGGTACTGGGGCTTGAACTCAGGACCTACACCTTGAGTCATTCCACCAGCCCTTTTTGCTTTTAAAATAGGGTCTTACAAACATATTTGCCCAGGCTGGCTTCGAACCTCAATCCTACTGATACTGCCTCCTCAGTAGCTAGGAGCCACAAGGACCTGGCTGAGACCCTATCTTGAAAAAAACCCATCACAAAAAAGGGCTGGTGGAGTGGCTTGAGGTGTAGGCCTTGAGTTCAAACCACAGTACCCACCCTCCAAAAAAAGATAAACTATTGTGAAAAAAAGAAATTGTCAGAGGACTGTGGATTTAGCTCAATGGTGGAACACTTTGCCTAGCAGGCACTAGGACCCAGTTTCTAGCACAGGGGAAAAAATTCAAATGAAATAAACAGAAGCAGAAATCAAAGTGAGGAGGATGGAAGCCAGCACTGAATTTTGAGGCAAAATCACAGCCTTCCTTCTGTTCATCTGGGCTACATGAAAAGGAAAGTTCCTCATGACATACTGGCTGCTTATCACCATTTGAGACTGGCTGATGGCAGGTAGGATGGGTGTCCTCAAAGAGATTGAGGACTTACCAGATGTGAATGAGATCGGCAGAGCTCAGGCCTCCCAGCAGACCCAGGCAATGACCAGATGTTTCCTCAGGAGATTTGTTTATCTTCAAATCATATCTCCCCTTTTGAACTGTTAGCTTCCAATCAGAAAGCAGTATATTTGATCATACTGGTTAACCCTGATTGGATTTTAGCATCTCCTGGGTGATTAAATCAAATGTCATTTTTTGGTTGTTGGGGGTTTTTTTTGTTTTGTTTTGTTTTGTTTATTTTTTTGTGGTACTGGGGCTTGAACTCAAGGCCTCATGCTTGAGGCTGGCACTCTACCACTTGAGCTACCCCCCAGCCCTTTTTGGCTTTAGTAATTTTTGACAGACAGTCTCTGTTTTTTGTCTGGGTGAGTCTGCACCCGCCATACCTCATGCATAGCTCAGCTGATATCAGAGGTGTGTATCACCATGTCTAACGAGGTCCATTTTTGAAATTAAATAATAAAAGATCAAAGTGAAAATAAAGGAATCACTCATTGATTCACTCTACATTGCTGATTGACTCTTTTGTTTTTGTTTTTTTTTTTTTTGGTACTAGGGTTTGAACTCAGGAACTACACCTTGAGCCACTTCACCAGTCCTTTTTTGTGATAGGTTTTTTCATGATAGGGTTTCACAAAACTATTTGCCTGGGCCGTCTGCAAACCATGATTCTCCTGATCTCTGCCTCTGAGTAGCTGAGATTACAGTAATAAACCACCTGGCTTGCTGATTCAGTTTTTCTCATATGTGACCCCATCATAGTTCTGAATGTGAGATACAGAAGGGTTTTATCTGTCCCCGACATTAGAAAGAAAAGTAAAACCTGAAAATGGGAGATTTTCACCACGTAAAAATTATACCAACTTCCCAAGCCAAAATATCTTCACGAAGACGGTGATGTCATCTGCAACGGCAACAGAATAGATATTGAAGTGAGTAAAATGGTCCCTGGCTGCTATGCCAGCTGGTCATGAGCCACTCAGGTATACAGAAAGGCAGGGCTGAGGTGGGATTGGGACCAAGAAGAAGGCCAAGGCCTCTTTGAAGAGAGTCAGTGTGGAGGCTATGCCATGGGGCTGGGTGACCTTAAGGGACCCTGTGAAAGACCCAGGACAACAAAAAACATTGGGCAGAAAACATTGAGGCACCCAGGGGTCCAGAAAGGAAGACTTTGTCTCCATGGAGGTAGAGATTGAAAGGAGAGACACGCACAGGACCGCACAGCCTGTTAGTCCCACACTGAGCTCAGGGCAGGGAGGGAGATGCACACTGGAGTTTCCCCAGGAGGATTAGGGTGTTTCATATGAGATCCGCCCAGCTGACCAGCTTGAGAAGATGAAGTCAAAGCTGTACCCCACCGATGAGCATCTTTCTCATGCCTTGGTGAGTTGTCCTGCTCCCACCATAGCATTTTCTTTATGCTTCCTGTGCTGTGAAATCTCTCAGCGTTACTGAGAACTTTCTGCCTGTGTCACTGTCTACTGGAGATCTTCATCCCGTTTCATGCCATTTTGCTCTGTACACCCCTGGGAATGGAATATGTGAGCTTTAGACAGAGGCTGGACACTAGGTCAGGAGACAGTAACCCCAGAGAAGTGAGAAGCCAGAGAAAGCAGGGTTTGTGGTTTTATCCCCAGCAGGCCCCTCCCGGGTCCTCTCCTTGCACAGTGACTCTGTTGCTGAGTCAGCAAGGTCTCAGAGCAACTTCTTCATTAGCAAAACCTTAATGTTGTTCACCTGACCGAACCTGTTTTATTTTTTTCCTCCTGGGGCAAAATTACAAATTGAGTGGGGTACACTGGGGAACCAGAGGCATTTGTCTCCTCTTGCCTCATCCACTGGCCTGTGGGCAGGGGAGGACCCACCTTGGTGCCTGTGCCTGGGGAGACCCTTGTGTGTTTCTTCTAGTGATGCAGAGTCAAAGGTCACCGTGCAAGTCTGCATTTACACTAGTGGCAGCCTCACACAACTCCTAGTACTGAGTCTGATTGTGTCAAGAAGCCCGGTCAAGTGACCGATCTGCCTGAGCCTCAAGGTCTGTGCAAGTGCATCAAGATTCCCATGATGACATCACCTCACGACTTGCCTGTCATTTAGTGACTCATGCCTACAGTTGGCCTCCCAGGGAGATAGGTGCCCCTTACTCTGTCCTGGAGAGCAGTGACTGCCATCACAGGGTCACATATACGTACAATGAGGTCTTTGTGTTGATCCCCAGGGGGCCCGGGGTTTCTCACAGAAGCTGAATGCTAAAATCTTCCCTTTTTCTCCCCTGAGACCCGCGCCTCCTCCTGCCTCTTTTCTATCTTGCTGCCTCATTTGAGCATTGGTCCTTACAAGACTGCCAACACAGTGCTTGATGAGACAGACACTGTCATCATCAGAGGGCTTCTTGACTTTAGGAGAAAGAGAGGAAAACAGTAAAACTCATGTTTTAAAGTGGCAACTTGTAACTAATGGTACCAGGCGTTCATTCTACTGAAATACATGCCAATTCACAAATAAGGAGAGCAGGGTTTGGAGAAAAGGAAGTAAAGGTTTGTTAATTTTCCCAGGAAAAAATGAGGATTGCTGCTGTCTGAAAGCTACAGTCCCACTCTCCTGGGGAAGGGGATGGTTTTTAAGGGAAAGCCCAGGACTATGGACTTGTGGATGTGTATATTGAGACGTGACTTTGGGTCAGATAGTAGCGTGGGTTTCCTTAGCTCCCAATGTACTGCAGTTACTCTCTG